AGAGAGAGAGAGAGAGAGAGAGAGAGAGAGAGAGAGAGAGAATACTCTACTCTGTAATACCCCAATTTTTAAATTAATATTTTTAATAATTATTTGAGTGTATATTTGTGTGTTGTTTGATTTATTCTAAATAAGTTGTGTTATTTTAGTGTTTGGGAGATATATGGGTATTTTAGTATATGTGGTAAGAATATTTGGGATAAATCCCCTAAGGTCACAATAAGATGATACATTATTGTTGCAGTCATTATAATTACTGTAATATAATTGTTGATGTGAATTAAAATGATCTTCGAGTATTCTATGTTGTAGTAATGAAATTGATGCTCGTTGAAATAAATTTTGGATTAGTGATCATCTTTGTTTTGTACTATAAACATGAATATTGGTATGTTTTCCCCTTTTTCTGTAAAAACTGTATGATAGATGTTGTTTCCAATTTTTTTCACAAAAATGTTAGAAAAATCTAATTTTTCCAAAAAATGTCAAAAAATCCTAATTTTCCAAAAAACTAACTTTTTCCCCAAAAATCGAATAATAAATTTTTTCCTAAAAATTGAAAACTTAGAAATTTCCCGGGAAGGGGGGGGGGGGGGGGGGGGGGGGGGGGGCGACGGACATCGACTGCGAGATTGCAAAATTTGGAACCGCACGGTAGATCCTCAACGGTGCCACCGACCCGCCGACGAACAGTGCGACACGACAGAGTTGCGACAATTGGAGGCGCCGACGACCCTCGTGGAACAATGCCACACTACAGCGGGCGGTGACCAACAAAGTTTAGGAGCCGTACCATGACAGTGATTCTGGCTGCTCACGGCATCGATAATTGGGGCTTTTTCGGAAGTTTTGAGTTTCAGAGCATTTTTCACAAAGTTTTAAGCAATTTTGACATCGATGCTCTTTTGTTAATCTCGGGTCATTTGTGAATTTTTATGAGTTAAATTGCCAGTCCTTAGGATTAGTAGAGTTATCACTCGTGAAGGTAACCCTTAGAGTCTTTTTTGAACACTTTAGAGTTATCACTCGTGAAGGTAACCAACTTCTTGTTGTATCGGAGGATGATTAATAACTTGATCCCCACATTGACTGTTTGTTTTATACGGTTGCATCCGTCTTGATAAAGCTTGTTGACGAGAAATCTTAACTCTTCTTGTCCCCGAGCTAAGTTTTGGATAAAAGCCATCTGTCCCAACATCTGGATTCTCATTGTTGCTATCTCAGCTTGTAATTGCTTCACTTATCCATCCTTTTCGTCTTCATGATTCTTCTCGGTCATGCTCTCAATGAGGAGTGCTTTCACTTCTTCTTGCTCCTTTTATAGATTCAGGAACAAATCTTGAAGCTGATTATTTTGGATCTGAAGATCTTGGACAATTTATTCGAGAGCCATTTTTTTACTGAAATAAACAGCAAGCGGATGAGAAAACCTGTATGGGGAAAACCTGTCATGATATGATGCATGATACGTGGATGTAATGTTTTCAAGGATCTCACAGGGTAAACACAAGAAAATGTTAGAAGTTGGATTTTGATCACAACTTTGATTGAAGAAATTCGTCTCGTTGAATGTCCTTCTAGGAGAATCAAGCTCACCATGTCAAGTAGGTCATAGCCCTTGACTCAAGCTATCATGCTTTGGTCTTTGACGATATTTGGTTAGAGAAAAATAAATCCTCTTGCCCCTTGATAGACGTCTGGTTCAACATAACCCTGCATCACAAACCCTTAAGATCCTTGAAATAGTTATTGAAAATGCTATGGTATAATGTCATGATGTTATGTGCAAATAATCATACACGAACAGAGCAAACAAGTCCTTAGGTTTATGCTTGCATGGAGTTTTATAGGTAAGTACCCTCTTGAAGTTTAATTGGTTCAACCTGTCCTAGAAAGTAATCGGGTTCTAGGGAATCTCAATATCATTGATCTTTCTTCACCGGGCAATGTTTCAGCGCAAGCCTCTTTATTAGCGATCGAAATATCCCGAAAGTCTGATCTCAATAAGCGTAGCATCGAGTATCAACCAACTTTAGACTGCACCAAAGTCGGCTACCTTACTACTTCCTAATGGCCAAGTTGTTCAATTAAAGGTTCTAAGGTCAGTTAGTGCTTTATGACACCACACAGCGGCCCCGTATTCTCCTTGACTGGACGCAAGGGCTACCGGTACCAACAAATGTGTCACACTAATGTAGCCATCGCTCCAACCATGTCGATATACGCTGCACAGTCCCCATAATCTATTGCTACTTACCTAATGGTGTTCCCAGATCCGGGTAGAGGATCGATACAAGCCCAAACAAGGACCCACAAAATGTAAAGCAAATAAATCAAACAATGAAAGCAATTAAATGTGATCTAGCTTTAAGGTAACCCCAGTTTTAAGTTAATTCCCCAGCAGAGTCGCCTAGTTCTGTAATATGGTGGAAGAACTGACTTGGGTGTTTTGCATTTGATCGCAATTGTTGTAGATAGCAAGAGTTGCCACCGACTTTTCTTTTATCCAATAAGGAAAGGGTGAAAAGAACAGGAAAGACCTTTGAGATATTTTCTTGAGTTCGAGGGGTAGATTAT